TACACAATGACACAAACTGCAATTCTTGCTGAGAGTTTGAGGGTCCTTTGTGATCAGCTGTGATGCCGCATTCAGTACATTCTTCATCCAATACTAATTTCTCTGCTGTCATCAAATTGTATTTCATGACAGCTCCATTTCCCAAATTAAATCTTTGGGCCACTTCTAATACAAAATATCAGACACACAGAGAAATAGTCTTAATCACTTTAGATGAGGAAACAGAAAATATTAATTCTGTACTTAATAATGAAAACAGCTTTCACACAAAATGCTTCAGCTTTGATATCACTCAAGTGAAGAAACTACCTGGTCTTTGTATTGACTCAGTCCTTTCAAGAGGGGAAGTACTGCTCCTCTCAGATAGCTCTTCTTGCTCAGCTGATTTCCATTCTAATATTCTCTCTGTCCACAGGAGAACTTTTTCAATCCCTTCAGAAAATGCACTTTGGCTTGCTGCTGGTGGTACCACTCTATGGCCGCCCCAAGGACCATTCAGACTAAGTAAATAAAGAAATGTTATTACAGAAGTTTAGAAAGAGAGGAAAAGGAAGTCAACAAGCAGAGGGCACTTATGAAGAAGCTTCCCAAATACCTCTGGTCTTTAGCTGAAACAAGCAGTGTTGGCTTGTTAGATTAGGCAGGTGAGGTAGTGTAGCTTTCAAGCTTTTATGGAAAAAAGTGTAACTTAAGGGAATGTTTGCATGAAAGCAGAGTTGCCAAGATATACAATCAATAGGGAGAGGAACATGCGGCAGCACAGGACATGATCATGGTGAGAACAGATAGGCAGTGGCTTGTTATCCAAACTGACAGGAGTGTATCTGGAAGGCTGCAATGTTTCAAAAAAAAAAAAAAAAGAAAAGGAATGTGAACTACCAGAAATGTTGCTGCTAATGAGAAGTGTAACAACATCAGCACATTCAAACAGCAATAGCACATCAAATCAATTCTTTAAGGGCCCACTTACAGCAGTTAGCCCATATGATGAAAAGGGAAGCCTCTATTCCCACCAAGTTCAGTGCTGCAACACGTTCTAAAAGCAACTGTGGATATTTACTGAACACTAAGGCACATCTGTATAGGCAAGGCTGACTGTGATGCCCCTGGCCCAGGAAATTTCAAGTTTGATAGCTGAGAGACTGGATACAGCATTTCAGTGACAGAAAGGTGAAGCTGGCACATGCCTTGAACATGGAACCATTTTGGTTTTGACTCTTCCTATTTTAACTCTTCCTTTCCCTAATATTTTAGTGACTTTTATGGGGAAATAAAGGTGATGAGCTTGAAGGGCTCAGGGGATTCTGGAGGAGAGGAATAAACACAAAGTCAAGAAATTACCAAACCAAATACTCTGGTACTTTCGGGAACGCACAGGAGTAATGGAAATATGGAATCCATAGTGCATTGCAATATCAGCACATGAACACAGAGCAGAGAGGAGCCAGGACAGTGACCACAGACAAGCAGCACAGCCCCATACTACCACCTTCTCAACTGTGCACCAACCAGCAGGTTGCGTGAACAAGCTCTAAACACCCCTCTGTCAAAAGAGCTTGCTATTGAAACATGACAACTTGAAAAGACAAGCCCTAAAACAGACAGGAGGAGGAGAAGGTATTTGACTATGTCTACGGACTAAATTAATAACTTTTGTGTGGTCTTCAAGAAGCTCTCAAAGCCACCCAAGTTTAAGATGAATTTACAATGAACACTCTAAGACATGACTTATTAAGTACTGTAACAGCCCCCAAAACACTGTGGCCATCAGGAAAACCATTTGAATCAGGAGAAACACGTTAATTAAGAAACTCAACAGCAGCACAGATTCTGAGAAACCCCTAGAGAGGCAGGGGAAAGATCCCACTTCCCACATTAACATTTCACATCTGGGAAATGTGAATCATCCCACCATCACTGGGAGAAATCCAGAAATTGCAGGAAGGAAGGAAGCTTTGAGTTGGGGGGGGGGAGTGAAAGACAGGAGACTTCCTATCTTGAACAAAGGGAGAGAAAGAGATCAGCACTGTCCTGGTGAGGATTGAAGACAAGGAGCTGAGTTCCCAACTTCAAAAATACTTTTAGATCTTATTCAGAAAAGGGGATGCAGGAGTTTGGGGGTTGCTAGCTAAAACATCATCTCTGGTTTTGTACTCAAAACTTGTCTCTAGGATCTTCTGCAATGACTGGGAAATTACTTTGATTTTTTAAATATCCCAATAAGACATTTTCTTTTTCTATTTGTCTCCTATCTGACTTTGTAATGAAGAACTGAAATTTTTTTACTATATTTTCATCTGCACTCTTACCTAATCTTTTAAATGAATTTAAGAGAAGCTTCCAAACATGAGATATATGGTGTGTGTAAGTAAACTGGCAAACTGTGATAGCTGAGGAATCTCAGAAGTTTGGTCATGCCTCTTGGCAAGATATGGATACAATTTTGATGGTATTACCAAATGGCAAGACCAGAAGAGACATTTCTCCTGACAAGGACAGGTCAGCTCTCATCTAGCAGAAGGAAAATTTGTAATTCTTAGACACTCACAGATTGCACAAAAAGTTTGGAGAGGTGGAAGGAAAAGGGTGCCAAATTGGTTCTCCATAAATTACCAGCTAATAAGTTAAAAGAACGATAATGTGCATTACAAATAAATATCTACATACGGTCTAGGACTGCCCATTATCATTAATTCTGGACATTTATGACAATCCTCTCTCAGCAACTAATGTACTTACCATTCAAAAAGCATTCAAGGACAATATTCCCCAGAAACTGAATAGATTCTAGTGACAACCAGAAAAGTTAAAAAAAAGAATATTTAATAGTAAAAGAAGCCTAGATTATCTCAGATGCCTTGTTTTTACATTAATTTTTAATCCTATTCACTTAAATGCGTTAGCAGGTTTTGCATCAACTTGCAGGTTGATGCAAAATGTAAGCCTATGTAATCCTGGTGCATATAATTGTGGGTGTACATCCCCCACATAGATAAGACATAAAACACACATAAAAAAATACAGTTGCTTCATTCTTCTCTGTTACTTACATAATGCTTTGAGACAGCATTCATGCTAAAGCCCCACAAATCATCTTACAATAAAACATTAGAAACGGAAAAAAAAGAGACCAACAATCCTTCCATGGAAAACAGGTGATACTGTCTAAAAGCAAACACTAAAGACTGCTTAATTTACTGCCTTCTCACTCCATTATCCCATCAAATGAAACAAGGAGAAACTAATAAATATGACATCTAACCCAAATACCAACAAAAAGTGCTGTTTCATTTGTTTAAAGTCCCAAGGAAAAGCAAGACTACCCTAGTTTGTGGATAACCTGTAGTTCTCCAACACTGAACTGCAGCTGAGAAACAACTATTCAGTAGCATTTGTACTATATGCAAAGTAACCAATAGAGTTTCACTAATGAAGACTAAGATCAACCCAACTCACTAATAAAACATATTGTCACATCTCCTCAAGCCAGTTCCACAATTCCCAGCTGCTGCAGGCTCTGGGGAAGAAATCTGCCACAAATTGCTGGCTAATCTTAACAACTAATAAGTCATTTTACTGCTGAAACGCTGATCTGTTGCCTCAGGGGCCTGCACAGCTTAAAACGCTGTGGAGACAAAAGTGATGGATTTTGCTTTTACAGTGTAAGGAAAGATACTGGAAGTGCCTTCTGGCTATACCTGAATTCTGTGGGCTCCTGAGCTGTGCTACCATGGTGTCTATGACCATACCAGACAGGTGTCACCTGAGCAGCTGGGCATACAGCACCACCCACCTTCCAGTACTGAAAATGGAGAATGCTTCTTCCAAAAACAGGAGGATAAGGCACCTGAACAACAAAGATTTTATATTTGGAAGATCATAGCTTGCCCTGTATGTAGATATATCCAGAGTCCTACAAGCCTAAGAGAGACAAGGAGCCAATCCAGTAGAAGACAGTCTTCACCTGTGCATCTTCATCCAGAGCAGCTGACTCGGTATACTATCCTATCCTATTGGCAACAGCTCTTCCACATCCCATGTCACAGCAAGTTCAGACAGCTTCCAGAGAGGAAAACAAAACTATCTTCACAGTTCAATAAGCTGAATAGGAAACACCTTCATTGTCAGTGAAGAAAAACTGAGTTATTAGTTTGGATGTCTACAATTTTGGTTTTTAAAAATTGTACCTTTCCAAACCTCTCCATACTGCAGGTTAGGAGCCCACCCCCTGCAGGCAAGCTGTAGCTTGCAGTTTTACTGCTCGTAGTCACATCAATGTATGTCAATTAATAAAAGCAACAATATAGCTTATAAAATATGTATTTGGCTCTCATAAGGCTACTGGCAAGAAACACCTTTCCTCTTAGAAAAAATGATAAAATGAAGATTATAGCAAGGTTACACTCCATTGACTTCTCAGTCTCACCATACCAATTAAAAGTGCTATTCACCTAATCATTTCTGTCATTCATAATTTCACAGCAGGTCTGCACTACATTCAAAAGTATATTTAACATTTTACGTACATCTAAAAGACAGTACAGCTGACAATTATGCTCTTTAGGACAAGAGGCACTCTTTTAGGGGTCCAGGTTTAATCTTCCCCTTTAGAATTTTAGGCATTCACCTATCCAGGTAAATATAATCTGATTAATAAAACTCATAGCTTTATGATGCCTAGGTCTATTTTCCAGAAAAACAGTCTTTTGAAATGCTCATACTAGAAGAGAGAGTAGTATAGGGAATGTATCCTGAAGTTACACATACAGCTATACATCACAAAAGTAAAATCATTGGGTGAAAACTCAGAATTACAACAGAAATATAGAATCAGATGTTCATGTATACGGCCAACTGCATGTGCACACAATTGAGATATCTGAGCACTCAGCTATGTTTTTCAGGCAACTGCCTTAACCATATGTCATCTCCCACTGACCACAGTTTGATAAGCAATTACTTCTTTCAGCAGCAGTGATGCTGGCAGAAACAGCCCTTACCTCCTGCTCCCTGCCACATGTTCCCTCCTTCCAGGCCACCTTCTCAGCCCTGACACAGCAGCCACAGAGTCAGACAATTCAGAGTTAAAAGTAATTAATAAAAAGGAAGAAAAGGTGCCTTTGAACCCACCGCAGTTCCCCCAATGCAATTCACCACCAGCCCCACAAATGGTTGTACTAGCACAGCTCAGAGGGTGGCAGGGGGCTGCTTACGCAAGCACGGTTCTCTCAGGAAACGTGCCAAATTTCTCCCTCGGGAAGCAATTGTGTTTGCACCAAAACATCTGAAAAATCTTCCCCCTCTGTGCCCGGTCTGTAGGACCTTGGCCTGGGAATACAGATCTGGAAGGGATCCCTGGGGGTGTCCTACTCCCCTTCCTCACAGTTTCAGACAAGAACCAACTCAGCAAATACAATCAGTCAGGAGACAAGCCACTTGTCAGGTAAACAGTGTACAGCCTGAAACTGAACTGAATGTGCACGCTGGGGGGAAAAGAAAGTTCCTGAGGTTTCCCCTGTTTACATATCAGTAGAATCAATTCTGATAAAACTTTGTAAAATGAAATTACACACTGTGCTATACCATCTTTCATTGTCACTTTCCAGCTTGAGGTTAAGGCAGAAGTTAACCACTGAATTTTAAAGGCATTAACATGGAACCCCCTAAACCCAGAGAAACCTTCCATTAAAATAGAGCTTCTGTTACACTGCTGCAAAAGACGGAAAACTAAAAACTAAAAATAATACAACTGAAAAAATATAAAACAAAAACACATAGTGGCCCACATATAGCTAAAAAAACAAATGTGAAAAGACAGTAAGAGCTAATGATTTCAGGTTAGCAATAACATGGCCCTAACTGAGGCATAATAGGATCACTCTGAGCAAAATGCAATCCTGTTTCACTTCATTAAGTTCCAAGTTACCCTCCAGTTTCCCAGCACTAACGGAAACGTTTCCTCATTGCCACTGCAGGAGCAGACTAACAACAACAAACATACTCACTGCCCCGACCAGCTTGTTAACTTAATGAAATCATTTCAGTCAGAAATCACACAAGCCCAAATTCATCCCAAATACCTAATTAACGACTTACTCCTACAGATATTAAACTGAACAGGTCAATAAATGAATGGCAAATTATCAGAAAGTTCTAAAATAATGATAATACTCATTGTATCTTTGGGCTTTTTTTTTTCATTGGATAGTTTCCCTGAACTTAGCCTGTGAACACAAAATTTCCTGCAAGACATGCCAACAATACCATTTAGCCTGAGCCTATTACTGCACACCTGGCTAAGTCCTACAAGGGACTAAGAATTCTCCTGGAAATGAACTATATTAATATCCCAGAAGAAATATCAAGGCCATTCAGGATAAGGATCACTGTGATTAACTACTTCCACAGCTGACTATTCCTGGGGAACGCCACAGACCAGCTCTCAAGCCTGTCACTGAGCACAATGCGCCTGGGTTTTTGGAGCTCTTTTGGGAACCGCTCGCACACACGCACAGCCACGGGGATCCCAGTGACAGCCGCGAGTCCGCACGCACGGAGACGGCGACGAGACACAGCGCAGCCTCTCACACCCGCCTCTGAACAGGTACATTTATTCTGTATGCAACAGAAATAAAAGATGTTTGAGTTTCCTCATACCCCCCCAGCAACTTGAAATGCTGTTTAGTCTTTAACTGACCAGCATCTCACCTGACCAACAGTTTATATATATATATGTATCTACATATATACAGTTTCTTAATTTAACAGTGGCATTTAGAGTGATTTTTATTTATTTTCCAATGTTTCCGCAGTTCCAAGGCAGGGCATGGGAGCGACCCTGCTGAAGCCCCACCGGAGCGCTGCCACCCGCGCTGCCCGCCCCGCTCCGCGCCCCCGGCCCGCGCTCCCCGCGGGGTCGCTCCCCGTCTCCCTCCTCGCTTTTCCCGGGACGAGCCCCGCGGCCCCGCAGAGCCCCTACCTGCAGGCTGCGGCCCCGGCAGGAGCCCCGCGGCCGCCGGCGCTGCCCCGCGGGGGCGGTGGCTCCGCGGACCCGGGGCGGGAGCGGGTGGTGCCGGCGCGGCGGTGACCGCGGCCCCCAGCGCGGCGGGCAGGGAAGGGCTGGGGTTCGGCTCAGCCCCTACCCCAGAGCTTCCCCGGCCGCCTTGGCAGCCCACCTGATCCACCGGTTCCTCTCCCCGGTGGGCTCGGCAGGGCTCTTCCCCTCGCCCGGCTCCGTCAAGCTGCTATCGGAGTCCCTCCTTCGTGGTACCTTCACCGATAAGAAAAGCGAAAAGCGCGTCTCACCAATGCCACGGTTGCTTTCATCGCATTAAGAGGGCTTCCCCCCCTCCCCCCCATCGAGGCAAAGTCTGTACTGGGATTTGTGGATCAGTGCTCTCAGGCATTTCATAAGGTATTTTTAACCTGTTGCAAAGTCAGGCAACACTCGAGAGTGGAAAAAACACCAGAACTTCAGCATAGGGATGGCCCGCTATCACATACACCAGCCCTGCACGCCCATACACCATTAGGAGTCCTGCTGCCATTGCTTGCTAGTCTTTAAATTTTCAAACTCAGTTCAAAATCCCAGACCAGGGGAAGGACTCACAGAGATTTGGACCCTAGACTGTTGGAACAAGTTTCAAATTCCAGCAGCCTTCTGTTTATCCAAGACAGATAAACTAAGTGGCTTGCTGAATGCTGCATGTGTTTTCAGGCAAGATCTGGAAAACAGCAGGTCTTTCCTCAGAAAGGACATTAAACATCCTGTGACACTTTTCATGAGAACTAAGATAAAACTGGAACTTTTTCTTACGGTTCCCAAACACTGTTGCTGGACAAGAGCTGCTTGGTTCTCGTCGTTCCCCCAGGACCTTGCTGACTTTCAGTGCTGCTATAGAGAGCAAGTGCAAAGCTCCCAGGAGTGTGCAAGCAGAGCACTTGGAGAGTGACAGGGAGACATTTGCTATGCTGGTCTTCAGGATAAGTTCAAAATCCTTCAAGGTAAGGGAACATACATGATTTCAGTAAGCGTGGCAGCTTTGGGGTGGATTATTAATTGAAAAAGGCTTCCCTTTCCAGATGACAGAGCTACTCTATGTAGTACAGCCAGCCGCACAAGACAGCTAGGAGAGACTGATGCTTCTTCACCTTTTTCTGCACACGATGGGATGAAGCTAAACACTGGGCAACCCACACCACCTGTGCACATCTTCCCTAGCAGTACACCCCCTCCTGCAGCGTGGCGGCTCACAGCAGCTCGAGAGAAAAGGAGCTACTTTTCCCTACTATCTGTGCGGGTAACAAAAGCTTGTCCTTGAATGAGAAAAAAAGCGCATCTCTTACTTTCTCTGTGAGTTTTTTATTTTTTCCCCTCTTTTTTATATTTTTTTTTTAATATTTTGGAAAGATTTTTAATCTTACCTGGATTAAACTATGCTTCATGTTGAAAGATTTTGTCAAAATACACTGCTAACATAGTTGTAATGCACTTTATTTGAACTGTGTAATGCTGCAAGATAATAGCTCTGAACATGTGCATTGAGCTACTGGTCAAGTGATTGGGGATCTCAACATCGCAGCAAACTTCCTCTGCAAGTCTGGTTGGCAGCATCTCAATGACAACTCCCCATCAGCAGTGGGAATGATGGTGGTTATCTTCGTTGGCTGCTGACATTTTGACATCCGGGTCAACAACAGGTAATGTGTCTCTGTGGTGTGGAAAGGACATCGCCATAGTGCCACAGAACCATCTGTATTTGACATACCCGGGATATGCAGAGACGCAGTAACACCACTCACACCCTGCAGAGCTGCCGTTGGCACTACAACAACTTTAAAACGCTTTTGTGCTGTTTAATTTTTATATCAATTAATTTTAAGCACTGAAGTATCCTAAGCTAGATATCGCCAAAACAACATTCATGACTTCATTTGGTTCTTGGAGCAACACTCTAACGGTAATAGAAATACAAGGTTTGGGGTTACATGAATGTTTTACACATTCGTGACAGGCTTCCTTTTGTCACTGCTAGAACAGCTTTATCTCATGCAAGTTGCAGCTGCTGACACTAGATAAATGACCCATTGCATGGCTCCATTTAGCCGTTTGACAAGCAACAGAATAGGACTCACCTGTAGTGGCCTCAGTCCCTCCAAAGTTGCAGGACTATGCATGTTGCTTTCTTTAGAAGTGCTGGAATCAAGATATGAAAGGAGCACATGCCCTCACCTGGAGTGCCTGACCAGGCAAAGAAAACACAGTCAGGAAAGGACTTGTTTTGGTTTGTTTCCTATGCAAACAAGAGTAATACTTTTGCACTCTTTTACACTTTGCAGAACACAAAAATAAACAAAGTATAATACTATGGAATTTAATAGGTAAAATAAGTGTTTTTACAGTTTGGAGGATGGTTAGGTGCCATGGTACAGTTGATGAATGGCCTTCCTACACAATGTATTAAGTTGAACCTTTATATACAAATATCTGTTGTAAACTGAAAACCTCATTACCCTCATTCCACTGCCCTCTTCTCCCATCTCCCTGTTACAGCCAGCCAAAGTACAGGGGTATGCTGTAATGGCATGCTCAGAGCAACATTTCCAGATCTGGTCACTAATATTTGGATCTACAACCTTTGGCATCCTATAGCCAAGGGAACAGAGGTTCCGTGGCATTTCTGGAAATGAAGCCAAAAATAGGAGAAACTATAGTCCCTATGGTTCCCTCAATCACCCCTCTGCAGCTACAGTCCAAATATTGCTGACTCTAAGGGGAGAAGGTAAAGTACCCACCACTTGTGAGCAAAGGCTTCTTTCTGGAGGTGAAGGAAAGCTCTGCTTCTTACTGACATAAAAGGCTTCAGAAAGGGATCAAGAGACTGTGATGAAATCCTTAAAATATGTGGTTGTATAAGTCATATATGTAACCTGGGATAGAAAATTATTATTCCATGGCCTCCTCACTTTTTCATGGACACTAGCAATTCCTGGAACATAAGACCATCATATGGCATCAGACCAAAAAATGCTTTTAAAATTAGCCAGTTTCTAATGACACTCAAAACTAGATGTGGGTATGTCTTTCAACCTATTGAGTGCATCATATTTCAGAATCTTTGGAAATTTTGGCAGAAGTACCCTCTCTTTCTTGATTAGGCAGATCAATACTTAATATTAGTTGAACAAGAGGACAATTTGTCTCCTTTTAGTAATTACAAGCTTCCACATTTCAAACCTCCTGCCTCGCTGCTGTTAATCTGGGGTATCTCTTCTGGCATGACACTGAAGTCCTTGGTCCAAGCACATACAGTAAACTTTTTAGACACATTTAAATGCATGTATTTTACAAAGATCTGCACTCCAGCTAGCCAGTGCAACAATGTTTCACTGGAAAACAAAGATTCGTCACTACAATTGTCCTATGGAAACATGGTTTAACAAACTTTTGGCTGGACAGGAGCTTTAAAAAAACTTTGTATGTCAAATGACTTGCTTTTGGCAACCTGCTAGGCTTCCTGCTAGCAGGCTTTTTTTTGGTGGAAAAAGTGAAATGAAATTTAGACATTTTGGAATTTCCCATCAGAAGAAAAACTTAAGTAGATGTTGGAATTTTTCACAGCACGGGAATAATAAATTTGAATTAGTTGTACTTGGAAGCAAGCCTTTGCACAGCCATTCCAGTCTCTTCCATGTTCACTTGACTGTGGACCAGAAGTTTGGGCTACTTTAGTCCAAAGAGGAATCTGACACTAAATATAGGCTATAATGTTGTTCTAGTCTGAGGAGACCTAACCATTTCCATGGTTCTGCAACTTTTCACAGCATTAGGTTTTTATTCTTCCTTCTGGATGATGAGGCTTACTGTGCTCTGCAGAAGAGATGGTGTTAGCAGCTTATCCTGCTCATCATCTTGCCGGTACCAACTCTTGAGGAAATGAACAAGCTAAAGACGGCTGAATTGGGGATCAAAACCTGAGGGCAGTGCAGGGGATCTTTATCCTGTTCTCCATACCAGCACATGATACCAAGTAAAAGAAGATGGTGAGCCACCACCAAGTCTTCACACCTCCACAACACAGAAAACCAGTCATTTGGCAATAACTGGCTGTACCTCAGACAAAACTCTGGCTGGTTTTTGCTGGCTGCTGAGGCTTTCAGTGAGAGCTCCTCATCCAACCCAGGGTATGCTGTGCCCCTGGGCTTGTTTTTGTTCCAGCTCACCTGTAAAACGCACAGCTTAACACCTAAGACTACTTTCAATTCAGTTTTTACTACCTAGTTGTTGTAGTTGTTGTGTTCGCAGGCTGGGGGAGGAGTTTCTTTGCTTTAAACTTTAATACACTTCTTTAAATAAAATACTGCCATTGATAGTATCTACAGCAAACATTTACAGAGTTAACAAACACAGAAACTACTGTCATTCCACACAGAAACTTACAAGCATAAAAGATTTCTGTTTTATTTGGAGATGTACCAGATTATTTCCAGGGGCACTTATGCAACACAAAATCTTACAGATAATTTTTTTTTCATCCTGTGCTTGTGCAAGGTGGTTTTTTTCCCCCATTCATTTGCTTTTTTCTCTCCAAGTTAAGCATGTACAGACAGAAGCCTAAACCAGAGCAAGCTAAAAGTACAGCAGAAACTTGCTCTGCATAGCAAGATATTTTGGTAAATATTACAATGATTATACATGGCCTTGCGTTTTGGTATCTGATACTGCAAGAGTTTGGTTTTCTCTTCCCATAGGGCAGTATCTGAGCACGGTGCTTCATGGGTTTCAGCGGCCTTTTTAGTATGGCAAGACATGTT